GAAACAGCGAACCTTGGTTCTGTTCACATTACATTAAATTTACTCATTTGGCACTTTTATCCACAGCGACTTACATTTAAGGAACAACATACAAGCATCAATAAAGCAAGAGATCTACAAGTGACAATAGATACTAGTAAGAGTTAACTGCATATACAGCGTCCAAAGTTAATAAATAAAGAGCAGCTGTACCTCTCGTCCTGTTGGTCTGATGGCTGTTTGTCAATAACTGAGGTCTTTTGTTCCTCTCACTGCTGAGTAGACTGCAGCTGAATAACACTCTGGAAGACAAAATGCATACAAATTACATTGCTGCAGGTACAACAACTGTACTGTTAGTAGATTCACTGCTGTACTACTAATTCTGCAACACTCAATAATGACAAAATAATTTTATTTTTCATGTAGAATTACAATAACTTTTAAACTTTATGTGGTGGTGGAAAGTGTTTTGATGTTTCTTTTTACTATATTAGTTATTGACAGCAGCGCAGCCAATAACTGACACAAGATATGCCCATAGCAACATAAATGTTACGACCCATGAGGTCTGGGTGCTATAATTGTGTTACTTTGGGTGTGTCTGTCTTTCCCCCGCAGGTGTGTACGCGCGCCTGCTGAGTGACGCTGGGTGGAGCTCACAGCTGGGGCCGATCAAGGCCAATTAGTAGGCTATGTAAGCCGGGCCAGTTGAGTGCTCGTGGTGTGGTGGTCGTCTCGCTCGTCATCGGCTCATTCAATCCGTATCTGTCAGTTGTTATTCACATTAGTCTGGGTAACGTACTGTGCGACTTACTGTACCGGGCAGTGGAAGCCGGTGTGGTGAGCGGCGGGTGCCCTCCATGCGTGCTTCCCCAACGCGGTGGCGGTGGGGACTGTGTGGTCAGCTGGGTGGTACTTTGTTATTTAGAAACCTCGTATAATTTACATTTATATTTGTCTCTCGTGTAAGCAGAGATTGCTTTTTGTTTTGCCCTCTTTTCTAAGAATAAATACGTTTACTTGACACATGTTTTTCCACCCGGGTTATTAATCTTTTGTTCGTCCCCCACCCCTAGATAAGCCGGGGACGTAACAATAAATTAAGCAAATGAGCGTCCTCCAATCTGATGCCTGAAGCTGAGTGAGTCGGTGGAAGATTAGGGACACCTGACGTCGTAGACAATGATGAATGCGGGAACTCAAGACACAGGCTTTCAGCCACCCACAAATTCAGTAAGATCTCTTCTTCAAAATCCATTTGAGAGGAGAACTTTGGTGGAGAAACTACATGTCAAAGATCTCGGCCCAGACCAAGCTGACATCAAAATCAGTCTACAGGCTAGCGAGAAAGTTAAAACGTATGTACATGCTCTGCAATTGGTACAATAGAAAAGCTTGGCTAGCTGGTTGCCGTATTTTTCTTCCCATGCTTGCTTTTTAAAGCGAGAACGGATACAATATGGACTGTTACAGGAGTAAATGACAGATACATTTATCTGAGAAGATTAAGAAACATGAGTGTACAAGGGCACATATGGACAATATGGTGAAGGTTGCCATGCTAGACAGAGTAAACATCGCTACACAGCTGTACGAAGGCCACAGGATTGAAGAGGTGGAAAAGAACAAGCATGTTTTTTCAAAGATAATTGACAGTGTTAAATTCTGGGGGGCCTTTAAACCGGTCTTTGAGCTTGCCTTTTCTTTTCACGCCACTTTCTATGTTTATGTTCACTGTTTATGTTTTTGTCTAAGACACTTTTTAATATATTTTCCACCTGCTGTCACTCTTCTCAACACCACTGCTCTGAGGGGTGAAGACCGAATATAACTGGAGGGTATTTATCTGTAACAGGGAACTGGATGACCACAAAGCTGCTCGCTCTGTTAAAACAAGATCAAGTGCAACAAAACAGACAAACATCAGCTAAAACAGACCACCTAATAGTGTGAAACCACAACAGCTTCACGCCACAGTTCACTGGAATCAACAGGTTGCTCCTGTGGTTTGATTTGCAGAGACACAAAAAAGATGCAGAAGACAATCAACCAAGTGTCTTTGGTCTGCTGAGTCCATCTTCTCTGTTATTTAAAATTAAGCACTTAATGTAATAATTATTTACATTAAAGCAAACCGATCAATAATGATGTTTGAGTAAAAGTTTAAATATATTTAGATATACTACATGTGAGCAGAATGCAGAGAAATGTAAGCTCTAATGACTTATTATTATATTATCCCTTTTTTTTATTAACAGTCCTGCAGTGAAACATGTGCAGTGTTTTTATCAGAAACAGGAAACTGGACAAACACAGAGCTGTTAGCGTCTTTTAACAGATTCACTACAGGGTGCACAACAGACAGACTCCCATACAACACATATCCTTGAAGTCGAACCCATGCAACTTGAAGAGCTCATCTGACACCAACGGAGCATCTCCATCAAGGACATTTCCTTAATTCCTGCCCTGTTCAGCCAATTCAAGACCTTCTCAGAATGCAGATCCAAGCCACTGTCACAAATGATTCTCAAAAAATACCAAAACAAAAACACTGGCAGTAGCATTTCAGGTGTGCAGATCCGAACTTGTCACATATTGAGGCTTGGTCAAGGCCCTTTAGCGTCATTTGTCCATTTTAAGGCTCTGCGGTCAAGTTAGCAATGCTTAGCAACCATAAATATGCAACATCTGGTTAGACTTTCAAAATAAAACACTAGCCATTAGAAACATTGCCAGTTTGAAACGACACATTATTAAAATTGTGAAACTTTGCAACTTGGTTTGGTTTAGGCACAAAAATACTTAGGTTACGTTAAGGTTAGGAAAAGATCATGGTTTGGGTTAAAATAACTACGTACAGAAGTTAACATATGTCACTTGCATAACTTATGCAATTTGCTTGAGGCCGATGTGCACAGCTGTAGGATTTGCCAGTCGACATGCATAAAGTCAGACTTAGGTTTAGGCACTAACATTTCTGATGGTTATAGTAAGGGTAGGAGGCTGCTAAAGCTAGCTAGCTTTAGCGTCAAATAACTACCTTGTCACTTAAGCTTTATATGCTTTGTCACTTTTTGGTATTGGACGCCCTACGATCTCAACTATGACGCTATAGCGATCCCCACTGTGTTACAAACTGACGTGACGGGTTTTGACCATGCATCCATATGTAACAAGTTGGGGAGTGAGAACGAGTTGTTTCAGTCTGGACGGCGTGAAAGTAGCATTTTAAAACAAAAACATAGTGTGGATAAAGCCTCAGAGTGCTGGAGGTGTAGCGGTCCTGGAGGGTCTGTTGACATTAAGTCCAGTGGTCTCTGTTTTTTGGGGATGATAATGATGAATTTGTTTACCTCCTGTTATTCAAAGCAACAGTAGAACTCATTTAGTTTGTCGGCCAGGCTAAAGTCGTTAGTGGAGAGGAGAGTCCCCAAATATGTATTTTTACATTTGTGCTGTGCAAAATCATATCAATAGAAGCAGGGAGGGATTTGTACGTTTGTGGCTCGCTTCCAGTCAATTAATGGAATTTAGTGTTCTGTGGAAATCTGTAGAAAGAAATCCACAAGTCTGAGAATCAGTTCATTAGCTACACCAGCAGGTAGCGACAACGACATTCCCTCAAGTGAGTTAACACGATATCAGCACTACCCAGCATCACCCTCATCTACAGAGACAACAAGGAGGAGGACTGTAGCCTGGTTTCAACCAGGAGGTGAAAAATAACTGGAGAATCTTTATTTAAGTCAACGATGGTGATTCAGGTTCATCATTATTACTACCAAGAAATAATTTACCTCTGCTTCGTCTGATTCGCTGCCGTTGGCGATGTGATATTCTGATGTCACTGAATGTGATGTCCTCTGTGATGTCATTTCCTGCAGCTTCTTCTTCAGCAACTGGAATGAACCAAAATGAACAGCAATATAATTTACATGTTAAATTTTCACTGGACATGGACATCATTACTTATACTTAAAATAACTCTCAATATGGTAACATGTGTAGGGTACACACATCCATAAAATGGCAGTACATTAGTATGTTCAGTGCTTTTGTTTTATAGAGTCTACGAACAGTAAAGACGTAAAAATCAAAACTTGTTGTTCACGAAGTCATCCGTCTGTCACTAGGAAAAACACTGTGGGAATGTAACAGTGGGTAAATCATGATGATCTGGTAGATAATTTTTTAATCAGTCATTTTATCAGTGCGGCGCCTGTCACATCTGTCTGTGCTCAACACACGGCTTGTCTGATCCCATTCAAAAAGTCTTCTTTCAATATTAACGCGTGTTAAATCCATAAGTCTGTGTCTAACCTGGATGTTTCCTCTGAACACGCCATCTGAAAAGTAGAACCAGCAGAACCAGTAAAACCAGAACAAAGAACAGAGGAACAGACCACAGCATCACAGAGGGAGGAGGAGGAGCTGGTGATGAAGAAAGACAGGTGGATGTAGGAGGACGTGTAGTGGTGGGTTTCCCTAAAATGAACAGGAAATAATTATCAAAAGAACTTAAATGAAAAATGCATTACAAAATCCTCCTTCTGGCCTTTTCTGCTCAGGTGGGTGCAAATTTGGGTATTTAAATATTTACCCATTTTGTTTAATGTATTTTCCAGGTTTGGAAGCTGATTTATATTTAATATTTAAAACTAAGTTCCAATATTAGTCTTGTTAACCTGCACATGTTCACGTTACACATGTTTAAAGGTAGAGGTGCTGTATCGTACTAACAGAAAGACACACAGAAGTGAATTCATAACTTCTGTCCAGTTTAGAAAAAAAAAACAGGTCAGTTTGAGAATTATCTTTGAGCTCCTCACCTGTGACAGAGATCCAGCTGGATGGAGACTCTCCACGACCGCTGATGTTACACTTGTAGAGGCCTTCATCAGACTTGTTAACATGGTGGATGGTCATGTGACCTGTAGGCTCAGTCCTGATGAGGGAGCCATCTTTATAGAAACCAGCTGGGAGGTTGGAGGGAGGGGTCTCTGTTTTACAGTGCAGAGTGACATCATGTCCCTCCATCACAGGGAGGACAGGACTCTGCAGGATCACTGGTCCACCTCAACACAGAGACAAACTACAGCATTTCATCATTTACACACAGCTTCATCAACACTAACTCCACAGTCTGATCTTACCAGTGACAGTGATGTTGATGGTGTTACTGGTTGCTCCCTCTCTGGACTCACACCAGTAAACTCCACTGTCCAATCGGACGATGTCAGTGATTTTACATGAAGAACCAGCTGATCTTCCCCAGCCAGCTCCACACTGAGTCCTGGTTTCTCTGGTTGTGTTCCTCCTCAGCGTCCATCCAGCAGAGCTGTCGTCCTCCTCACAGCTCAGAGAGACAGACTCTTCTTCAAACAGCTGAGAGCTGCTGGGACTCACAGTCAGAGAGGCTGGAGGGAAGTTATTGTATTTTTAGTTAAATGACCAGACGGGCATCACAGTAAAACCTTGATGTCCAAGCATTGCATTTAAGAAACTTGTTTGTTGAACAAAAGATTCTGAACTTGTTGCCAAACTGATGCTGAAGATTTTTAGCTTCTGAAACTCCTGACATTTTACACATTGAACCTATTTACTGAAGAGTCTAACAGGTTTTGTGTTAATCCAATGTCACTTAGTTGTAGGTAGCTAATGATAGGATTTATTCAAACAATGAGCACAGCGGTTGCTAACACGCTGCACAACAATGATGGCTTGGACATCAATGGGACAGTTCCTTGAAGTAATGAGCTCAGGGAAACGGACCAGGCTTTATTATTTATTATTATAATTTATTTCCAACCAGCTCAGTAGCTGCATTATGAAGAAAGATTCACAATAAACTTTTTTTTTGGGGGGGGGGGGGGGGGGGTTAAACTGATTTATGTATGTCATGCATTTTAAATGGGATTCAGTGGCAAAAAGGCTGACAGACATACTAGAAATTCTTTTTTGCCTCCAAATGAATAAATACTTAATAATTCTCTGTGTGTTTTTATTACTGTATAGAAGTATAATAGTTATGCTTTAAATCTGACTCACAATAAAACTATTAACTTTATCCAGGGTTTGGAACTGCTTCCAGTGCACTGGGGCCCCAACACATGAAGCCGGGGCCCTTTTTTGAGCCCTCAGCAGCAGACTTCTCTCAGCTCTGTCTGTGAGCGATCTCTCAGAGGCTGCACAGCTCTGGTGTTTAAGTTGCAATGTTAACAGGAACAACGTTTAGATAAAGGACAATAGTTACAGCATCTCAACTGAGATGGCAGCCTCTGAAAAAGTAATAAACCTGCCAACCATTGAAATAATGATGAAATTTCTGCACATTTGAATTGAATTAAAAAGTCTCTAGTTTGTAACTGTAACTAGTTTCATAAAAGGTTTTATTGTATATGTGGAAAAAGGAACCAAGGTTGACCAAGGTGCTTCACGGGTTAAAATACAAAGAAGAAGTGACTGTCATTTCATGTCTGTAGCCTAATAAAGCTTGTTGCACCAGCTGCGGTGTCTAAATTATTTTCATTGAGTGTCATTGTCGTTGAGTGTTATCTTTTTTCAGGTAAATTCTAAAGTGACGTTGTTTTTCATCAGATTGTACTTACAGAGCAGAAAAGCTGTCTGTCCCATCGCTCCTCCACTCAGTCAGTCCAGTTAATCTCTTCCTCTCTGTAGGTGAGAGCAGTGACTGTGTAGAAGCTCATCTGGTTTTGCTTCTTCACTCAGAGCTCATCAGGAGACACGGGGCCCTACACAAAGAGTTTAATCACATGCAGGAAGTGACAGCGCTGCAGGCTGAACATGAAGGAGGGCTGATCTGAGATCACTGAGAGACAGATTCATTAGAAACAAGGAGGTAAAGTTCCTCAGTGGAGTTTCTCTCCACTCTGTAAATATCTGTGTGATGAAGATTTCACTTTTCAAAAACATTTTGTAGAAGTTTAGATCAAACTTTCCTGGGTCCGACGGTTTTTTAGGGATTGGCCATGTTCTGTGGTGAAGCCTTGATTTTTGATGCATAGTCATAGTAAGGTCAGACAACCTGCATGTTTTTAAATTATTATTTGTTTAGATTGTATAGCCTGTTGTGAGGAGCAGCAGCCTCTGATGATCAATAATGTATTTTTACTGTGGTGGTGATAAAAGCTTAAACGCTGTGGCATGCTAAGTGTTTTATATCTATGGATTCTTTTATAGGCTGATTTTAGAGCTTATATCGAGCATCAACTCATTATTGTCAAACAAACTAAATAAAGACCCTCTTCTCACAACAGTGCTATTATGCTGGGGATCCCGTCTCTAAAGATGAACATGTTGGATGAGTCACTGTCATCCTGCTGGCTGCAGAGTAACTCTGCTGACATCTGCTGGTTTAAAACAAACTCACACATTCAGAGAATCAACCTGACTTCCTGTTAATAAGATTTATTTACAGTTTTTTCTGAATGCTTAAGCGCTAATCGTGATTCTTGTAGCACAATTTCTAAAACTATTAATACGTATAGCAAAACCACTCACTGAGTTTGCAAAACTAAAAGCACAAACACTGCTTTGCACTCAGTTTGCAATTTTGTAACACACACTTTGCAAAACTGTCGGCACAATTCACTGCACAACACTCTTTGCAGAACTTTAAACACAACTCACTGCTTACACTCAATTACCAAATTTCCAACACACTCCTAGCAAAATTATACACATGTATGGCTATCATTAACACTATTTTGCCAACTTTCTGGCACACTTTCACATGTGAAAACTGTTTTAGATTATTAGTTCACTTTGCAATCAGCCTAAGCACTATAAATAAGCCACAGGTAAGCTGTCTGTGTGGAGTACAATGGAACGAGCAGTAAGAGTGAGAAGAGTGAGAATCAGAGGAGGCCGAGGAGGCCGAGGGAGAGGACGTGGAGGTGAAGAAGTTGGAGGAAGAGGACGTGGAGGTGAAGAAGTTGGAGGAAGAGGACGTGGAGGTGAAGAAGCGAGAGGGTTAGAGGAAGTTAGAGGAAGAGGACAAGGAGGAGCAAGAAGAGGACGAGGAGGGGAAAGAGGAAGGGTAAGAAGAGTAAGAAATAGAATAACTGATGACATCAGAGCTACAATAGTGGACCATGTCATCAACCATGGGATGACCCTGAGGGAAGCTGGCCAACGGGTTCAGCCTAATTTGAGCCGCTACACTGTGGCAAGCATCATTAGGACATTTCGAAATGAGAATCGGTAAGTACTTTGTAGCACTGCCATACTCTAATGAGAAACACAACAGTACCATACATGCAAAAATACTGAAATTGTTACTTTACAGAATTGCTAGACGTCCACATGTTGGGGGCAGAGGAAGACTGTTCACTCCAGAGCAAGAGACCCATATAGTGAACATGGTGATTGCCAATAATGCAATAAGACTGCGCGAAATACAGCAGCGCATAATTGATAATGACACCATCTTTCAAAATATACACAGTGTAAACATTTCTGCACTAAGTCGTTGTACTTGAGCACCACAGAATAAGAATGAAGCAAATTTACAGAGTTCCTTTCGAGAGAAACACGTGTAAAGCAACTGCGATATGACTATGTGCAGGTAAGCTATAGTGTCATTGGTTCTGAATTTGGAAGTGCATACTGTAGTGCTGTGCAGGGGCCTGATGTGCTGCATTTGTTTTGTCTTGTCCAGAGAGTGATGGAACTAGAAGCAGATGCCATGGGACATGAGCTACTTTTTGTAGATGAGGCCGGTTTTAACCTCAGTAAAACCAGGAGACGTGGCAGGAACATTATTGGACACCGTGCCATCATCAGTGTCCCAGGACAACGTGGTGGTAACATAACCATGTGTGCAGCTATAAGCCAAAATGCTGTTGTTCACCATCATGCAACCATAGGCCCATACAACACTGCACACATTATTGCATTCCTGGACACCTTACATGACATGCTCACTGTTCAGAGACCAGAGCAGACCCGATATGTCATCATATGGGACAATGTTAGTTTCCATAGGGCTGCTTTGGTCCGCAACTGGTTTACAGACCACCCATTCTTCATGGCACTCAGCCTCCCTCCATACTCTCCATTCTTAAATCCCATCAAGGAGTTCTTCTCTGCCTGGCGCTGGAAAGTGTACGACCGTCATCCTCATCAACAGGTAGCCCTTTTACAGGCAATGGAGGAGGCATGAGGAGATATTGACCAGGCATCATGTCAGGCCTGGATACGGCATTCAAGGAGATATTTTCCCCGGTGCCTTGGACTGGAGGATATCGCATGCGATGTGGATGAAATTTTGTGGCTGGACCCAGAAAGATGACATGATGTAGGCTGATTGTTTTTTTGTTTTGTTTTTTTTTGTAAAATTACTACTTTGTGTTCTGACTTTGTCTTGGTTTTGATGAGTGTGAATAAACACCAATACTTGAAGTTTGGATACTTGTATGTTTACATGACACTATGACAAAAGTATGACCTTAAATTGACATCTGTACACAAAGAAAGCAAAAGATGTGTTTTGTATTCATACCATCAGTGTGTAGTTGGCACATTGTGTGCTTAGTAGATGATGGCTTGTGTTTACTGTTTGATACGAAAACACCATTTTTACAAAGAGTTAATCTAGCTGTGTTCGCTTTTGCAAGAGAACTACAATGTTTTGATAATTGGGTGAAAGGTTTTCTTATTTGTGTGTAGAGTTTTGCAAAAATAGCCAGTAGTTACAAATGAACTAAGTGAACTAAATGATTTCATGTGAGCTTGTTACATAACGTGGACAAACGTTACACAGCTAACTTACTATAGGTGGATGAACCAGATCCTGAATCATGAGCTGGTCGAGTTGAAACTATAAACCGAGCTACAGTCCTTTTGCTAGTTGTCCCCCATAGATGAGCGTGAATATCCTGTCAACTCATGGGAGGCAATGTCACCACCGCCCCCTGCTGGTGTAGCTAATAAACTGCTCTTAAACTTACAAATATCTTTTTGCACATCTCGGTGAGACAGAGTGGACGAAACTCCACAAATGCGTAAAAAGGTAGTTACAAATGTAACGTGACCTGCAAATTGACAGGAAGTTTTCCACAAATGTGTAAAAACAGTTTTGTGTGTAGAAATGGATCCACAAATGCGTAAATATCACTTTGTATGTGTAATTTAAATATGTGTGTACAGATTAAATTGTGCATATTTGCAAATCACACTGTATTTTTGTGGATATGATTTTACACAACACAAATGTAAAAATATATGTTGTGGGTAGTGAGATATTTGTGTTTTTTTTTCTTTTACAGATCTCCGCAGTACACCTTGGACAATATTGCACGCATGTGTAAAAAGGAAGTTACAAATCTAATGTGATGTACAAATTTACAGGAAGTGATCCACAAGTACAAATGTTGTACAGTGATTCACATGTACAAATCACTCTGTATTTTTATAGATATGAATTACCACAATACACATGTAAAAATACACATTTTTTAATAGTGATTTATTGTGCATCATTTTACACATTTGTGGATTATCTTCTCAAATCCCGGTGCTCCTGATTCCGGTTCGCATAGATCTATTTTTAGGGGCATATAAGAATGAAATGCTAACATTACACAGAAGAATCACCACGACCTCCCTTCTCTAGTATTTTTGGCTATACAATAAAAATAAATTCACCTGCACTTTTAGCAGAAAAACTCTTTGGACGATCAGGATTTTCACATTGACAAAAATATCTACAAAATTTAATACCTTGTTTAATAGCGATTAAGACTTTTTAATACTTTTTATTGGCCTAAATTTTTTACCTTTTTAAGACTTTTTAAGCCTCCGTTGACACCCTGTTACCACAATATCTCCTCTATTTTCCTTTCGATCATTTTCTAAAATAAATGCATAAAATTGTATTTGCTATGAATCGAGGAATTATAGACTATAATTTGTACTTTATATGCAAACTATATATTCAAATCATTTCCAACATTCTTAAACACCCACAGTCCATTAATTCCTGTTGGATATTTGTATCACACTATAACGTTTATGTAATTTTGTCTGCCTTATAGCCCTTAATATCATTAGTCATCAAACAATCTTGTAGTTTCTATATTTTTGTTGTTAATCTCTCAGTATTGTTGAAAACTAATAGGCTATGAAATTGCGGCACCATTATGTTGGCATTACTATGCCTCATCACTGTGTTGGATATTAGGCTTTAGATTGCATCAACATACTTCACTGTTGCTGCTGTTTTGATCCACATGGTAATAAGGCTGTGGGGTTCACGGCTGAGGATTGGACTGATTCAAGGGAAGTTCTGCCTGATCCCGCCTCTCAGGTTGGAGATCCCTCATTGGAGCGGCACAACAACCCTCCTCCAATCCCTGAGCTGCCTGCAAGACTGCTTTCAAACTCCTCGGGTTCAAATAGGCTGACCTGCTGCTGTATCAGGCAACTACTGCTCACTATGTAGTTTGCCTCTGTGCTGATCACTTTGTTGAGTCCTGTGTGTGTCTTTGGTTGCCACATAGTAGCTGTCACATTAAAGTTTTTCTCTATTGCTAAAACACAATTTCTGATACCTTACTCCATTTTCTGAAAACATTAAACACAAGACCTCAGTTCAAGCACTATTTACAAAACCTCTGACTCCTCATGCAAAATGAATCTTAAGCCTTAAAACAGTTTTACCTGTGCTGAAAACCAAACACTACTCTCAAATCATAAACAAAACGATCAAAATTATATACACTATCAGACACCCAAAAAAAGAAAACACGTTCAAAAAATATAGTTCTCAGGGAGAAGTACATTTTTAATCTCAAAAGAAATTTCATATTTTTCCATCATTGTCTTTTGATGAATGAAAACATCTTCTATCACAGTAGCTCAAAATTGATCAGAAATGAATATATTTTGTTCTTTCTCCTCTTTGTACTCCTATTTTTACAGTACTGTCCTCTGCATCTCACAAACTTGTCCTTCATTTCTGTGATACTGCAACCAGTCAAAATCTATTGAGCAGTCAGTTCTGTCAACAAATGGAAAGCACAATCTTCAGGGCCAGACATTGTTTCCTCCATCCATTCTTAAACTTTCTCTGTCCCACCTTCAACAACCTGTTCGCTCTCTGAACTTGCTTATATTGGTTGCAGGTTTAAGGTATTGACAACAGACTGCACATTTAGCTAAATGAGTTCAGGCAATTGCGAACTTTGTTGGGTTTTAGTGTTTTAGCTATTGAGAAAAACTGTAATGGTAGTTTTGTTTTGTGACACTGGCCACAATAAGGCACCTTCCTGTTTGAATCTAAGTGATCTGTTTTATGTTGGTCTGTAGATTTGGGCTATAGATCAGCTTACTACTGATACAAATTACACTTTCTTAGCTAGTTGTTGTATTAGGTTCACTAGGTTTTTAATGGTGCTGCACCAAATACATCTGGTTTATGCTTCTGTCTCCTCTACCCCTAGTGAGCTGGGACGTAACGTAATAATTAGTTATTTAATAATTAAAGGTGAGAGACTGCAGATATGGTAAAAAAAAAAAAAAAAACAACAACTAAAAGATATCACCATGAAACTTTCCTAGTTGATTACTTTATTAAAGAAAATATTTTGTGTAGTACAGGTTTTCTGTAATGTTATGTTTAAATATGCAAATGAGGCAGTATCTAATAAAATATGCGCTAATTTGCATCAACTTCAAGAACTAAAATCTGAACCCTGGATTAAGTCAAAATGATTGTTTTATTTTGTTGACATATTAAACTCAAATGTTTTTACAGAGTTGTTTTTTAATTTTTTTTTATAAATCAAAAAATACTCCGTAGTACCGTAGAATTCTACACATTTTCATTTCAAATCTATATTTACAGACCCAGTATGGAATCAAATTCTTAACAACAACAACATGTAACATGTAACTGCGTAACAGCATGTCTGAACAGACACACTTACACACAGAAACAGACAGAGCCACCTGCAGAAAGCTAATGTGGTTTACACAGCCTTTTCTGTGTCGTGATACAGGTGAGAGGGTCCGGCTGCTCTCTCTGTTCTCCTCAGAGTTAACTGAACTGGGTTCAGTTTTCGGTCTGAGCAGGCCAGGCTGGGAGGCCATTGCGGCCCCCGGGTCCGTCCAGGTGGGGAGCAGAGCCGAAGGGAAGTGAGTTGAGTGGAGCGTGGGGGGAAAGAGCGAACAGAGCTTGTGCTGCTGTTTTTATCAGTGAGGCGTTTGAGGTGACAAAAGTTCAGCAAGATCACAAATAAACATCCTCAGCTTTGTGAGGTCCCTGTGATCACAACTGCTAAAAGGGCCTATATGCACATCATGCAGCAAACAGTTCAGCTTTCTTTGAAAACATGTCACCTTCCCCCTCCCTCGTTTGGGCGGGTCGACTTTCAGAAACAAAAACAGCTACACAACACAAAGAAGACGTCAGTCTGGTTTCACCTTTTCATCTCTGCAGCCAAATATGTGACTCAACCTGACATTCGGCTATGGAGAGATTCTCACTGTTGAGTAACATAGGTGGTCCGCTGTCAGCAGACACTACAGAGCAGAAAGAAGAACTCAGTCTGGTGTCAGCGTCATCAGCTCTGCTGTCATGGTCACTTTAACATGGCCGCCATTTGTGGCTTTGTTCGCATGTTCATGGATCGTTGTTCTGTGTCAAGGTAAGAGGTGTGTGTGTGTGTTTCAGACACAGTTTGAGTAGAGGACGGGCAGACTGGGGACACATTTGGAGAACTAGGACAGAGATTCAAAGCTTTTAGGAAATAATAAAATCTTTAATATTTCAGCTGTTCAGTGTCAGAAAAGCTGATATATATATTCAGATGGGAAATAATATCACTATGAATTTGGCCCAGGACTGATCCAGACCAGCCCACCAGAACTGGCTCCTGTATACTCCACCAAAGCTGCCCTGCTAATGCACGGACATACACACATGACCAGCTTCTAATAAAAACAGCAGCATCACTACTGAAAAACACACAAACACTGCACATTGTTAAAAAACTTCAGAACACACACTGAATTTGTCCTGAACTACCTCACACCACATGAAGACACAAAACTGTCTGAGGGTCAGCTGGTTGGCTTAAAGTCATGAGAGTACATATTCTAGAAAACTGGTTGAACTCCTCTCCAAACACTGAACGTAACCTAAAGAGCAGCACTGATCATCAACCTGGATATGAATTAAATAATATATAAACAATAACTAATAAAGGCCCAGTTTTTGAAAAACTACACGAACTCAGCAAATGGTCAACATTTCATATCAAGTGAATTAATAGTAATGCAACAAATGTTTTTGAGTGGCTTTACTTGCTGTTCAGCCCAGGCAGAGGATGAGTTTCAATGCATTGTCTGGTACTAGGCAAAGTTGTAGAAACCTTGTCAATGAGCATCCTAGCAAGCAAATCAATGAAGCTACATTCTCCTGCACAAAATATGAATTTGAGAGGGAAAGGACTTGATTACTTTTACAATATGTATTTGCAGCCAACACCTGTATAGACATTTGTAAGTGTCTAATACAATTTAACTTTTAGAATCACAAGGCAAAACTGAAGTGGTTGTCATGGAGGTTGTCTTGCCAACCTCAGCAGACAATTGGCTGAATTGGGAGGGTTGTCAGCTGATTGTGCTCACCTGGGGCCATTATGGGGCCGTTATAAAAGCTGGCTCACATCTAGCAGGTTACATCCATGCCTGGCATCTTCTTTTGTACTTGTGTTTATTTTATTTTAATCAATTATACTTGTTTTAACTAAGTACCTTGCATGGATTCCTTCTTTATCACATTCCCTGAGCCGCTTTGTGACAAACGGTTGCCATTTCCCTCAAAATCCAGACAGGACAGTGAATTGGAAACATTCAGAGCTTTCCTAAACTCAGATTTGAGTTTTTACACTGGTTGGTTTGAGCACCCAGTTATTGACGTTTTTATCTCAATTCTTTCTTTCTAGTACATTCATAAAACAGTAGCTTCCCGTGTCACTGAATCTTCAGTTAACTTTTTCATTATTAATAACAGAAGGTATAAGGCTGGCTGCTAAACAGCCCAGACGTTGGCCAGCCCACCAGGAACTTTCCCGGTGCCCCCGATGTCCTCTGCTGACTGGTTTCTGCAGCTGGGACTCAAGTTGTCTGAGAACAGAGTTTGAAATGCTGCTGAGTTCACGTGTGCTGTTTTATAGAGACCTGACACTTCCATCAAAAGATGTTTGAAACATTACACGTCCTGACTGCAGGGTTTTCTGTTTCTGTTCAGAGACACAGGAGGTGAAGGCTGGAGAGGACGCCACTCTTCAGTGTCAGGGTCACAGAGAGGCTGCAATCACACTGATAAAGTGGAGTAAACCTGACCTGAAGTCAGATGATGGTTATGTCTTCTTCTTCAGCCTTGATGAAAAAAATGAAAACATCCAGCATCCATCTTATCGTGGTCGAGTGGAGCTGAGAGATCCAGAGATGAAGGATGGAGACGCTTCTGTGATTCTGAAGAACGTCAAAACCAATGACACTGGAACATATGAGTGTCGGGTTAGAGAGAAAGACAGTTCAGGCAAAGTTGAAGTCGTCAGCTCCATCGGTCTGACAGTGACAGAACCAGGTGAGCGTGTAGAGCTCAGAGTGTCTCTTTGTCTCTCAGGTGAGCGTGTAGAGCTCAGAGTGTCTCTTTGTCTCTCAGGTGAGTGTGTAGAGCTCAGAGTGTCTCTTTGTCTCTCAGATGAAGCTGCTTCCTGGTAGTTGAGCTGAGAAACATCACAGATCAGATGTTTGTGTTTTAGAAAGATGTTGCTGAGGAGACTTTAGAGGAAACAGCTGCTACGAGTCATGTGATCAAAGTGCAGTAGATAATGTCTGACATTCTGTTCACCTGCTGACAGCTGATACCTCACACCTGTTTCTGCTCTGCAGGTCACACAGCTGGACACAAGGAGGGAGGAGACGAGGAGGGAGGAGACAAGGAGGGAAATGTTGGACTGAAAGTTGGTCTGTTAGTTGGTGTGATTCTTCTTGTTGGTGTTAGTGTTGTTGTTTTTAGAAAGAAGATCTTTGGAATATGTAGAGTATGCAAAGACAACAATTCAGACAAACATATTGCTCATAGAAATGTACCAATGCGAACGTTTTTCTCTGGCTGCTGATTGGTGGACTGAATGTGCTGCTGGACAGAAGAAACACATTCCTCCTGTAAAATAAACCTGAGCTGTTGACACACGTCTGAATTCACCTGGAGGCAGGTTAATGCCAGATGGGCTGACTGACCAGCAGCTCTGTGGGACAAACAATATGACCTGATGCTGGAACAGCCAGCTGATTGTTAATTACAGGAAGTGGTACAGACCGTCAGCACCTCCCCTCACCCTTAAAAGTGGATCCATCCATCCATGTAGAGTCAGCGTTCAAGAGAACAAGCAGAGTTCAGATCAAATAAACTGGTTAAATGACAAAAAGTGAAAAGGTCAGAAAGAAAAAGAAGCATAATCTCTGGTCTGATGCTGTAAAATCTTCTAAATGAACAGTGACCGATCCAGTGTCAATCTAAACTCTGCTAGCTGCAGTTATAACATTAACAGTAACTCTTGGATGGTTGGAGCTGGATTGTGTTCCCAGTCCAACCCTGAAGAGCTCTGTCCCTGTTGTTCACTCACCGACCTGCATCAGAGCTATCCCCTGTCACTACTGGTGTTCCCCAGGGCTCTGTCCTGGGGCCCCTTCTGCTCATCATCTATCTGCTTCCTCTTGGTCATATCTTCCGTAAATTTTTTGCGGATGACACACAGCTCTACCTGTCCACCAAACCTAACACATCTCTCCCACCCACCTCCCTCTTGCCTAAATCCCACCTGAAAACACATTTTTAAACTGGCATATCCCACATGATCACTATTTATCAGGTCACAGCAATCTTTGTTTCCAGTTGTACCCTGATTTTTATGCACTGTAACTATAGTTGTTAATTTTATTGAGTTATTGCTGTACAGTTTTATTATGTTTTGTGAGGCGCCTATAAATAAAATGTATTATTAGAGCCCGACCACGAACCGTGTGAACTCACCAAACTTTGCACATAATTCGGATGCGGCAAACAATTCCGTATATTATGGGTTTCACGCATGGGCATGGCCAGAGCCAGATTAAGAAGTCTGAGGCCCCTGGGCACAAAGTTTTTGTAGGGCCCTCATCCGCCCACACGTATGCACGCAATCGAAGTTTTGAATTATAGGGTGTTATTTGTTGGAAACACATCTAGTTTATAAAGGACTGATATTATCGGCTGTCATGATCTTATTGCATTTAAATTAGTATCTGCGTTTATAACAGCCATTTAATGACTATTAAAAGAAACGGAGAGACAGATTTGTCAGTCAAGTCAGGAGTGTTACATAGTTTAACTAGAAAGCGCTGTGCAACTCCCCTGTTGATAATAGCGCCACCGATCCACCACAAAAAGGAATCAGCTGACCAGAGTGGAGCAGAGCATTCGGAACCAACAACGGGAGTTCATGATGAGTTGGTCATTTGTCACATGCAATACATGACTTATGTTGCAGTCAATGTTGCAGTCAAGCGGGAAGTTTCCAGTCAGTGATCTGATACGAACGCAGGACCCCCTAAAACCTGCATTCTACTGAACGGCCAGCAGGGGGCGACTCTTCTGGTTGCAAAAAGAAGTCCGTTTAGTTAGTTTTAAGACTGTTTTAAATACACATGCTTATTCTCTCGCTGCACTTTCTAGCAGAAAATATTTATTGATGTGCAGTTGTTTGCATGATTTAACCACATGACTGCAACAATGCTTTCCTGGACCACAATATCAATACATTCCCCACCTCAAGCCTCACCTCTAATCCAGTTCTATGAATCAGATTCTTCAATTATTCACACACAAAAACACATCCAGTAAATATGCTACTTCACCGTCACCATGTAAAGGCAGCCCTCTTTCACTTAAAACATACAGCCACAACCCGCTTCATCTCCTCCTGTTTCTCTCCCTCCAGCTGTTGCACTAGTTTAGTTTCAGTCCCACTCCCAGTGAAAAATGAGCTATGCAGAAGCTATGCAAATATGTAATAACAGTGCTCTGTGCATTCCTCACGCACCTGGTCGCCGTGGTTCCAGTCAGAAAAAAACACCAACAAATATATTTACTTAGTTGAATAAAGCGTAGGCCTACAGGTAATGCAAAACATATTACCTGTGGATGGTGAATGGGTGATCCACATTGTGAACTTTTCCCCATTTTGGACGTGACAACACAGCAGATTATTAGTGAGAGAGCCGTGCACTGCTGCTGCTACAGCTAGCCTCAGGTTAGCTGTGCTCACAGACCGTATGGCTGCACTGCTAGCCTGGGCTTGATGTTACGGTGCGCTGCCTCCTCCGGTCCCTGGTTAGCTTGCTCATCATCTTCGATCTTCTACAACTTCTTCACCCTGATTATCAACCTGGCTACTTTTGAATATATTGTACGTCTCAGTGAAGATGCCTCCCTCTCCTATTCTTCTCTGTTTCATCTGTGTTTACTACAATCTTCTCTCACTCATTTCAACTTTTCCCACAGTCCACTCAATTCAGTGCTGGGTTATTTGATGACCATTTGATGATGTTACGTTTAGATAATAAAAAATATCAAAGTGCTTGTAACTGTCTCAAAGACATGTTTAATTGAAATGTCTATTTTGTATATTTGTATGTGTAAGTTCATGAATATTTGAGTTCATACAGCCATTTAAAAATAGGAAAAACATGTGAAGATGTTAATTCACATTAACAACATTCACATTCACAAAAATGTCTTTAATTTAAATACTGTTAAAAATGTTGTGCTTTTGTGTAAGGTTTATTTAAACGAACAACAGAGAGTAATGGGAAATGGGTCACATAGACAGAGTTAAGATAAGGGCATAACCATGGCATTATGGGTAAGAGACAATGTGGAGGCAGAGCATGAGGAATGAAATAAAGCCCCAAAATAACCGTATTCTGTACTTGGTTCTAGAGGCGCACATGGTAATTGCCTTTCATTTGTTTACCTTGGTGTATGGTACTTGTTGGTGTGCTTTACGTGGACAATATTTTTGTTTGGTTATATTGTATGATTTCATTGTATTTCGCTTGTGTTAATGTGTTTGGGCCTGTTTATCAATGGACACTAGCTTGAAAGGCCTTAAAGTGAATGTGAGATGAATGTTTTAAGCTGTCTTTTATTTTCTTGTAGTTTTCACGGTGTCTGCTGACGAAGGAGAGAGTTGCTATAAAATAAATCTTCAAAAGACATCTGTATGATGCGTGGCCATTATTTCTTGGGACCAGTGTAGCTATAGTGCTTTTTATTGGTTATACATAATCTAAAATGTAAAATTTCTATGGTACGTGTATCATGTCCAAATGTACAAAAAAGCCTCTTGCCCCGCACCCAATAAGAAGTCCAGGCTTTTTTGGATTTAATTTAATGGTAATTTTTTGCAATTTACAAACTTTAATGATCTCCTCCTAAGGAATTACTCAGATCGACTTAAAATTTTTGCTGTGCAGTCTAAACCTACTGACGATTAAAAGTTGTACAAAACGGTTATCAGTCGACCAGTTTGCCCATGTCGTGTCATGAAATATCAATGCTTCGCCATGAAACAGAAAGTTGTTATAACTTCAGTGTATATGCTCACATCTGTACCAAATTTTCAAAGAGTCGCGCCCTGAACACATCCACATGCATATGATACTCTTCCCCGGAGTCTTGCGTTTCTTCTTGGTGCCCTCTATTTCAGCCACCAGGCGGTGAAGTGGGGAAACATACTTGGCAAATCCCTTTACAAAGTGGCGATAATCGGAGGCAAACCCCAGGAACAACTGTATCTCAGTGCAAGATGTAGGTCGTGGCCATTCAGCCACGGCACTTATCTAAGAGGGATCTGTTTCCACACCAGATGCTGATATTACGTGACCCAGGTAGCAGACTTCAGGCTGGAAGAAGTGACATTTCTCAAGTTTTAGTTTCAGGTTGGGCTCTTTAAGACACATGAGTACCAGACTGAGACATTGGAGGTGCTGGTCAAAGGATGATGAAAAGATGACAATATTATCCAAGTACAGCAATAAAGATTGGAAGCTTTGGTCCCCAATGATTCTCTCCTTCAAACGTTGAAAGGTACTGGGAGCGTTACAAAGCCCGAATGGCATCCGGTTGAACTCAAAAAGTCTAAATGGTGTACAGAAAGCTGTTTTTGCTTTATCCTTCTCTGCCACAGGCACTTGATTGTAGCCACTTGCCAAGTCCAAAGTTGAAAACAAGGCACCAGAGACAGCATCCAAGAACTCCTCAATGCGTGGTAAGGGGTAAGCATCCTTCCTTGTTTTAGCATTAAGCAACCGGTAATCTACACACCCTGATTTCTCCTGTTTTCTTGTAGATTACCACAATTGGAGAGGAATACGGACTACAACTCTGACGAACAACTCCTCGATCCAGTAGTTCCTGAATGTGTGCTTTAACTTGTTCGTACTGCGATGGCGGGAGCCTTCAATAGCGCCAGCGCACTGGTGCATCATCCAGCAATGGGATTTCATGTTCCACCAATGTACTACAACCCAGGTCTCCCTCTCCTTGACAGAACACTGAGCTGTATTTTTGCAAAAGCTCTACACCTTGTCTGTTCTGCTCAGGGGAGAGGTTAGCCCATGACAGGCTGGAGAGATCAAGGGGCGGGGAGACCAATGCAGTCACTGTCTGGATCACAGCAATGACATCCTGATCATCAGTCTATTCCATAAGGACCGAGCTTCCCGACTGAAGTGGGTCAACCACATGTAGCTCACCCAGCAATGTGTGAGGTTTGTAGCCAAACATCTTCTGTACTCACGTTATCTACAGGAAATAATGTTGTCCTGGTGAACGGCAAGGAGGGCTGAAGATAGCAAAATGCCTGGCAGGAAGGGATTTCCTGAAACACAGGGTTCAAGGAGTACTGAAGGGAGGGTGATATTAGCCACTGAAGGAAATGAATCCACTTCAAGGAACCAGCAGGAACGCGCACAGCTTGACCATTGACTTTGGCTCTGCCCAAGTATCCAGATGAATTAAGGGCTTCAATGCGTTGACACCTGGAGAGAGCTTCCTTCCACACCTTACTGGCAGTTTGAAGAGTGGATGAGTCAAACAGACTGGATTCATCCTGGGTTGTCCATTACATTCATCCCTAAGAGACCAGGCACGGACTACTCTTGCTGTGTAGACTCACCCTGGGGACACTCCCATACGTGTTAATGTCTAACCCAACACAGTGATATCCAGCTCCATATACCCTTTATAGGGGATTGTTAGCCCGTTAGCAGCTTTTAGCCGTAACCAATGGCATTCTATCAACAGGCTGCCTTTCGACTTGAAGTGTTGTTCAAAGAAGCTTTCTCTGATTGTGGTACCAGGCAGGGTATCAGAATACCCCCCATATTGATGTCCACAACAGGCCAGTCTCCAATGAGTTGAGCGGGGTCTGGCACTTGACCTTCAAGTGAGCCCCTCTTCTTCTTCATCCCCTCACACTATCTGGCTATGCACTCTAACCTCAGAGCCTGATTCTGTGCGGTTCTAAGAAGCACTAAGGTTTACCCTACAGAATGTAAATGTAAATGCTCCGTACTTGTATAGCGCCTTTCTAGTCTTTTCGACCACTCAAAGCGCTTTTTACACTACATCTGCATTCACCAGTCACACTCACTCATACACTGGCGGAATAGCCGCCAGGGGCAATTCGGGGTTCAGTATCTTGCCCAAGGACACTTCGACACGCAACAAGGGGGAGCCAGGGATTGAACCGCCGACCTTCCGATTAACGGCCAACCCGCTCTAACTAACGCCACAGAAACAGGCAATGTGACCAACCCTATTACAGTGGTGGCATAGTGACTTACCATCTACTTGGAAATGTAAGTGTTTAGCATGAGAAGCCATCATAGTCTGGGTAGGTGGTAGGAGCTGGGAAGTGACATGTTTCATTAGAGTGTCTAATTGGCCCCACTCTCCAGTGCACAGTTAAAACATTACGTATGGACATAAGCAGAGGTGGCATGGGTGCATGGGGGTTGCCCACCCAGGGACCTGGCTGTTTGGGGGCCCCCTATGTGGGTCATGATGTTTAGCTCAGTTGATTGTTGTGGACACGGACAAACTCCAACACAGCACGCCCTTCCAATGGGTTGTGAAATCGAATCCATCTTATTGCGGATATTTTTTTCTCCCTTGTTAAACAAATAAAAGGACACTTTTGCACATGCTCACAATTAAGCATGTGCTGTAGTGTGTGCCGTCATTAATTTATTTACTTTTTATTTATCTGCTATCAAAGCAATCTGGCCGTGGGCCAGATATTATTGCTGGCGGGCCGGTTCTGGCCCGCGGGCCACCTATTACCGACCACTGTCAGAGGTACTTCTCAAATTGATCTGCAAGATCAACATTCCCATTAAAAAACTAAGAGCTGAAATCAACATAAGCAACTTGATTCAACACTCCTTTTCCATGCTTACCATCGCGGGTAAGGGTGAAAGATGTTAATGGGAACAACAAATTTTTAATTATGGTTATAGGTTGCATTTGAAGCAGCATGTTTAACATCCAATGGAAGATAAATTTGATACAAAGTGACAACTTACCAAATCTGAAATGTCTCCCTCCAGTCAGGGTTGTCAAGCTGGTTGGGTTTGTTTTGCCTGTGTTTCAGGATGGTGCAGCTGAACCGAAGTCACAGTTACTGGCTGAAACGGCATTGTTTTGGATTACCTTACATTGCTTATCAGGACCTGCCCTACTCTGCTTCTGACTGGCTAGTCCAGTCTGGAAAAAATGGTAATCAGGTTTGCCAAGAAACGGAAATCGGAGACTGCTGTACCTACCTATCTTTACGGACAACTGCTTATCAACATCCCAGATCAAGCAGTCCACAGGTGCACAATGTTCCCAGCTGTCAGTGCAAGACACTGGTGAGAAGAGAAAAGGCAGACTCTGTGTTTTACATTGATGATGTACAGCTTTTTAAACTGCATCAAGGCCTCAGCACTGCAGCTGAAGCATGCATATACAGTATATCAACACAGTGGGGAACAGAGAATAATAACTTACAAGTTAAATGTCGTCCACTGCTGTGAAAGAAGCTGTGATCTATCTGACTAAAAGTGCAATACGATCCATTTCAATCGTCGGTAACTTTTTTGTTTTTCAACATAGAAAACTCAAACCAATGCCAATACAGATAGTGACCATGTTTAATAGTAGTTCTTTGAAATGTTCAAAAAGTTTTACTAAACGAGTGAATATTGAAATTCATGGGATTTATTGTTTTGTTTTTACTGTGGTATCAAATTGGGTATCAGTGATCCTGAAATTTCACTGGTATCGGTATCGACTACTACATTTCTGGTATTGTGACCTCCATAATAGAAATACTAATACTAATCACCATTACAGATTCATGTATCATGTGTTAGCTCAATTATTTGTAAACATTTTTCAAAAGATGAGATGATAGGAAGGGATCCACAGAGACAGCTTATATCTACCGCACAGAATTTTGTGCTATGCCCCTGGTTCAGTCTTTGTGACCTTGTTGTGCTCAACTGCCTGGCTGCTTGTTACAAACCTGAAAAAAAACAACAGGGACAGGCAAAAAAACCTCTGATAAACACACTGTGTGGAGAGTCGCTATGTTGTGGTTAAACTGAGATGTCAAAAGAAACAAGTAAAGTCATTAGGTTTAACCAGCCCATCAACAAGAAGATAAATGGCAGTGTAGATTGACTGGAAGCAGCATTTTTGATGATTGTTAGGTTTATTGTGCAATTATTACAGGAGCAAAGGAGGAAGTCAGGTCACTATTTAAAAAGTGAGTAAGTCTACGTTAGAAGTTAGATGGGGTGGACGAAAGGTGGATGGGTGGAGATTGGGGTTTGTGTTCCATGTGAAACCAAGTCAACATTAACTTATTTGAAGTGTTAGGTTACTTAATAATTTTACAACAAAACACTATAGTTCCTCAAAATAGCCAAGGAGTTTCCTCCAAAAAGCCTATACCTAACCAAAACCAAAAAACCTAAACTTAACCAAAAAAAAAGTATTTCACAACATTGACATCACTTTGCGTGACCTATCAGTCTTTCAGGTATGAGGACGGTTGGGGTTTAACGCACTGGAATGCAGAAACCGATGCAAATTAATAGAAAGATAACAAGTACGGAGATATCCACCCTGATTGGGTTGATTTTATCAGTGAAATGAAAACAGACAGAGCGAGGAATTAAAATGTTTTTGCTCTCACCTGCACCTAACCATGACAAGAATTTTAATTACTCGTACTGTAGCATTCTTGCACATATGTCTTGCTTTTGTTTTCAGTCTGATATCATCTGATAAATGCTTATATAGATGAGCCTAAATCAGAAAGATCACATCTTCATTCACAGCATTGGACAACTTTTAAGCAGAGAATATATAACTTGTAAGTACTTCTGTGTTATTATATCACTTTTTAGCAAGAATATGGAGTTGTCATTTTATATCTTTAGATGTGTTTGAGCTGAATTTAATGTATGAAAAAGTGCTACACAAATACAGTTTGCCATGATACTGCAGTATTATTAACATCACTTTTTAATTACACATTTATCAAAAGAGAACCGTAGACTCCTAGGTTAGGAATTATAATTGACAGCATACACAAACCTGTTGTAACGTCAATGCTCATGGCCGATTCAGCTGAAAACCAGAAAATTCCAGCCCCCAGCCGATTGATCGGTGCATCCCTAGTTTTAATTTTAAATTAAAATAATATTCATGATATTGTAAAATGTAAGTTAAATGTTTCAACACACATCATCACACAAGTACAGGTGTAAAGTTATCAGAAAGCTGCTTAAGATACCTTTTTGTAAAGATATTTGCCAAATTAAATTTACAGTCAGCCCAGGAGAAATTAAAGTGGTCAATAGTCATTCCTCAATTATCTAGCAGGGCAGAACCAGCAGATGTTGAAGATGTTTTATTTGTTGTGTTACTTTAAATTACTGGTTCAGCAGCTTTAAGGTTTCATTTTATTTGGCAATTCAGTGAAAAATATGAGCAAACAATTTAAGTCAGCTTTTACTCTGTTTAAAATGCAAATAACCATTTTCAGCTTTTAATTTACTTGTTGAAAATCACCAATTTTATTTTTCAGTGAGCACAGTAAAGACACTATCACTGCATCACCATGATTGCAAAGATTTGTGTCGTCCTTCTTCTGTTTGTTGGTAAGAGAAACTTTCATACCAAATAAAGTTCTAAACTTGCCTCATCCTTGCAAAAATTTGTTTGAAATTTGGGAATTAATGTAAAACTGATCTGAAATTTTCTGCTCAAAACAGCCTCTGGCAACGCACAGACCACAACCACTGCTACACCAACAACCAGAACCAGCACTGCTGCACCAACAACTAGAACCAGCACTGTTGCACCAACAGCCACAACCAGCACGACTGGACCAACATTCCCAAACAACACTGCTGGACCAAAATTCCCAAACAGCACGGCTGGACCAAAATTCCCAAACAACACTGCTGGAACAACATTCCCAAACAACACTGCTGGACCAACATTCCCAAACAACACTGCTGGACCAACATTCCCAAACAGCACGGCTGGACCAAAATTCCCAAACAACACTGCTGGACCAACATTCCCAAACAACACAGCAGCACCACCAACCCCAACCAGCACGTTTGGACCGCCACCAACTCCTACCAGCACGTGTGGACCACCACCAACTCCTACCAGCACGTTTGGACCGCCACCAACCCCAACCAGCACGTGTGGACCACCACCAACTCCTACCAGCACGTGTGGACCACCACCAACTCCTACCAGCACGGCTGGTTGTGAGACCAGCAAGGCTAGACCAACATGTAGCGTGGAGTGTGTTTGTAAATGTTAATCTCTGATATGTAATCACACGTGTCCCTGAAGGAGGTGTCTGTGATTGGAGGGCTCTGTAATATTCTGGTTCAAGGCTTATGAGTGAATCTGCTTTTTGTTTGTAACTACATAAAAAAGATGATCTACAATAAAGGTTTACCAAAGTTATTCTTTAAAGTTTTTGCAAATGACTACATTTGTTAAAGACCTCACTTCAGAAAGTGTAGTGTTTCATTACCTGAGTAAAAATACTGAAAACCTCAGCAAATCAGCTTCATCAAACTGTGTGGATGTGACACCATACCAAATGAAGTAAGGAGCAAAGACAAAGTCTAACAGACTGTGTAATATCTATCTATCAATATATCTATATATATATATATGCTCTTTGTGGCTTGTGGTATTCATCTTCTTATTACATCAGGAAGATGGCCCTCAAAGGTGAAGGGCTTAGTAAATACCTCAGGCAGCAGAAACCCAAGGGTGAGGAAAAGGAAGACGAAGAACCTTCACGGAGAGACAAGCCGCTGCACTTCACGTACCACAGACAAATAGAAAAAGTGGCTGATATCAAGAAATCCTACCAGTGGCTGGAAAAGGCTGGACTAAAGGACAGCACAGAAGCACTAATCATGGCGGCACAAGAACAGGCACTCAGTACAAGATCAATAGAGGCTGGGGTCTACCGTAACAGGCAGGACCCCAGGTCCAGACTGTGCAAGGAGGCCTCCGAGACAGTACAGCAAATAACAGCAGGGTGTAAGATGCAGGCAAGAAGTGCGTACATGGAACTAATACCAAGGGCTGAAAGAGGAGCTAGAAAACATGAGGAAAGTAAGAGCAACAGTGGTGCCAGTGGCAATCAGAGCACTGGGTGCTGTGAACCCCAAACTGGGAGAGTGGCTAGAGCAGATTCCAGGTAAAACATCAGAGATCTCTGTCCAGAAGAGTGCAGTCCTAGGAACAGCTAAGATAATGCCCGCGCTAGGACCCGAGCTTGACGATGACACATACCACCCTCCGCAAAGGGTGAGGGGGGATTATTTTTTTAAATGACAATCATAATAATAACAGGAACATTTTAAGACTATTCATTTATATTAAATTCTTCTTTATTTTTAATCTGGTTCAAGTTGTACTATTAATGAACCTGGTAGTGTGGATCTGTCAGTCAATGTCTCGCTCATTCCTGACATACAGCTTGATGTCACATTGTAGAGGTGGTGACTTATGGTAGTTCCATTTCAGAACTGGTATCCGTAGCCTGTTTTTGTGATGATATGGCTGAGGGAGTTCAGGCCCTTGCAGCGCAGCAGTGGGGACCGCTTGGTATATGCTGCAATTGATGGTGACTTGAGCAATTAGCTTTGACATGGCTTCCAGACTTGTTTTCCACAGCCCAATTGAGTTCTCGATGAAGGCTATTAGTGTCCTGTTGATCTTGTGGATTTTCAAGCATTGCAGTGTTGATGTGTGTGGCAGTCGTGGGCTTTGTTGTAGTCAATCCAGGCAATGCAGAGGTTGGTCTGCCTGGTCTTGGAGTCTCGAGTGACTGCTCTATTGACCAGTAGCTGGTGCCTGGCTCCCCTGGTATTACTGCCCATTCCCTTCTGGGCCCTGTCCATGTATTGAGCCATGTGCCTACACATCTTAGCTGCTATGATGCCTGACAGGAGCTTCCATGTTGTGCAGAGGCAGTTAGTGTCTTCAGCCAGTGGGTGTGGATCATGCCAGGGCCTGGTAACGTCCAAATCATCATAACTGTCAGTCTGTCTTGGATTTCTTATTAGCATCTCTAGGATGTTCACTGTTGCTGTGTCGTACATCAGCTCATTGGTCTCGGTTATGGCTTTAGTAGGGATAGTATGTAGTTCTGCATTCACATCTTCTAGCAGACTTTCAGAGGGTACTTTGTCACTTACTCTCTACACTTACTTACTCTAATCTTGGTCTCTCACTTGGGGGTCCAGCTTGGTTATGATCTTCAATCATAGATCAGTTGCCCTTGTGTTGAGTCAGTGGTTCTGAAGGCAGTGCCCCCCTATCCATTATCTAGGGACCTTACTGCCCCCCATCAAAAAAGATGCTGGCTATTAGGGCTGTTGTTATTGGTGCATGACATCTCCCATATATATTTTTAGTTTTAAGTTAAATAATCATTTTAAATTGATGTATTTTACTTTTAGAAAAACACAAACACAAATAAAACACAAACAGCTAAAGCGAGTCAAGCATCTTCACTTTCAAGAGTTAGTCAAGTGCACTTCCACAATTGGGGCAACATAATTAAAATATTTATATAGGCCTAAAATTTTTGTTCACTTTTGGAAGGTTTGTTTTGCACCTGCATTTACCTAGAGCTCTGACTGGACTATCATCATGAAGCTCTGGTTGCTCTAAGTCAATGGAGATACCTGACAGAAAGGTAGTTATGATATGAAAATATGATGTGAAATGAGGGCAGCCACTGCTAGTAGCCTATGTTTTGTCTTTTTGAAACACCATGTCCCTTACTCATGAAGATGTAATTTTAGCATTTAGGAGCACTTTCCTCCTGGTTTTTATAATATTAATGCGTTGTCTCAGCTCTGCATTTTCTCTTTCTCTCATTCCCCTGGGCATTTTTTCTCCACACTGGTCATTCACTGACTGAACATTGTGTTGATGTGTATATGCATGCGACTAGTTGTGTGATGACAGACCGAGGTCATACCATCAGGTTAAATGTTATCTTAGCCTATCATTTATCAGAGGTGCCAACTTTTCACACATTGCGCATGACTAGCACAATTGACATTTTTCACATGCTCTCATGCCATCAATTTTGTCATGCAGTGCAAAACAAACATATAACTGATAACATTGGCTCATGCGAATCAACTCCACCCAGCTGATTTAACACTAGCGTACACCATGACAGGTGTACTCCCGAAGTGGCAGACAGTTTTTGACAGAATGGTCACGTAACTAGTGTAGCCTAGAGTTTTGCAATATAAACATTCTGAAACTGAAGTGCAACCTTGATGTGTTCGGGACTGAGATCTCCAGTTTATTAGAGGTGCTGAAGTTAACGTGTGTGGATTTTGTGTGGATGTGCATTTTCAGTCAGACGGTCTACCAGCAGAGCAATAACATAATGCACAGCCGAGGATAGGGAAGGTAGACTTTTCAAAATATTATTAATTCTCATTTAATGAGGACGTTAGTGTCGTAATTGGGGTCCTTTCTTTCTTTCTTTTTTCTGCAAAGTAACCTCAATTTTTTGGGCCTAAACCTACTTGAAAACTCACCAAACTTTGCACAAAATGCAGGAGTGGCGAAAATTTGCATATTTTATGGGTTTCGCGCATGGGCATGGCAAAATGGCTTGCTAGTGCCCCCTACAGAGCAGCCCCCGGACTTTCACCACGAAGTGTCAGATGTCCAGATGTGCAAAAAAGCCTCTCGGAGCCGTTGCCTAAACCCAACAGGAAGTTGGCCATTTTGGATTTAATGGTCATTTTTGCCGATTTACACATTTTGTACTTTTACAAACTCCTCATGAGGAATTAATCCAATCAACTTCAACTTCATTTTCGCTGTGCAGTCTAAACCCATTGATGATTAAAAGTTATACAAATGGTTATTACCAGTCGACCAGTTTGCCCATGGTGTGCTGTCAAAAATCGATGATTCACCATGAAACGGGAAATTGTTATAACTTCAGTATACATGCTCACATCTGCACCAAATTTTACATTTATAGTAAGAGTCGGGCCCTGAACACACATACATATGCAAATATTCAATCAAAGTCATAGTGCCACCAGCTGGCTACAGGAAAAGACATGTTTTACGCTGTAATGTTGCTCAGATCTCTAGTAAATTTTACACAAGAGTCCCCCCTGAACTCATGTCATAAAACAGGAAGTTGTTGTAACTTCAGTCTACATGCTCAGATCTGCACCAAATTTGGAAAATACTGTAATAGTGGTGCCCTGAATGCACCCACATGTCAATATTGACTTAAATTTACAGCGCCACCTGCTGGCAAAAGGAAATGACACATTTTACGCCTTAATGTACTCCTCCTAGAAGGTTGGACATATTAACTTCAAAACTGTCCCAGAAAATCCATAACGCATTGATGAAGCCATGTTGTAAAACTCATGAGTTTGCAGTTAACGGTGTTAAACTCTTTGCCATGACACAGGAAGTTGTTGGACTTTGAGTGTACATGCTTAGATCTGTACCAAACTTGACATGTTTTGATAAGAGTCTTGGCCTAAACACAGCTACATTCCAATATCCAGTTAGAGGCATAGCACCAGGTGCTATGTAGCGCCACAAAGGGGACACGGGAAGTGACGTATAACACCTTCGTGCAGTGTCCGAAGAGCGAAGCAATTTCACAGCCGTACAGGCAGAGCTCCAGAATCTGCAACACGGCCGACTCACACCTCGACACGCTACACGTGCGAGGGCCCGCCCAACACTGCTTATTATTATTGTTACTACTACATGTGCCAGACCTGGATAGCTTTGTCAGTTTAAACTTAAATTTAAACTTGACCAGTACCTGGATGGGAGACCTCTTTGGGAAAACTGGGAAAAAGTTGCTGCTGGAAGTGGTGTTGGTGGGCCAGTAGGGGGCAGTCTTCCCTGTGGTCCTAATAATAAGATCCCAGGGCAGTGATGGGGACACTAGTAGTAATTGGCTCTATGTTTCCGTCCCTCTCTGCCTCAAGTTGATGTGTGGTGAGCGTTCTGGCACTAAATTGCTGCTGTGCATCACCCAGGTGGGTGCTACACACATTGGTGGTGGTTGAGGTGAATCCCCCCCACTTCACTGTGAAGCGCTTATACATGCGAGTATCCATGATAAAGTGCTATATAAATTTAATTTATTATTATTATTATTATGAAAACGCCTACATCAGTCAAAATGCTGGTGAAAAAACACACATCATTCCGCCACTTTAGAGTGTGTTGCTAATTATTTTAGTTATTTTATCCAAAACTGAGCAGATAAGAATATGTTGTGCATACTGTACAAGATACTGAATATTACTGCAGACTCACCGTTTGAACTAAAAACCCTTTGAAACACTTGATATCGGCTATCTAGAATGTCTGTGTTGGTTTTGGTAGTATTTTAACGAAGACTATATATATATATATATATATACATATGTTAA